TATGCCTCCATGAATGACCTTGGAAAATTAGGCTTGTGGGAGCCTCCATTAGATGAGAACATAAACCCTAATTTTCTAGAGAGAGAAAATTTATTCCTTTTTCCTTCTCATAAAAATCACCCCCTAAAATATACATAGACCATGTATATTTATAGGCAATATAAAAATAAAGAAAAGGAAACAACAAATCCTTCTCCATCTCTAATTCATATGTCTCAAATCTAATATGATTCCAATATCAAGTTGGGCTATGAGTGAGAATCCATTGGGCCTATTATTTTATTGGCTACAATGAATTAATAATTGGCCCGGTCCATGGACCCAATTCAATTAATTCATAAATTAATTTCTACTCCACTAAAAGAAATTAATTGAACTCCAATTAAATAATAAATAACCTCTAAGTCAATATTGCACTTTGACCCCTCTATGCATAATTAGTTATCGGATAAATATAGCCATCAATCCGACTACTTAATTAATATATTTATTTTGGTACCTTTGATTATTTCTGGCTCGATCATAATAAAACATTTGTTTGACAAAAATAATAATTTAAATAAATAAATATATAATAAATCATTTTGTCTAAAAACACACGAAGGCCTTCGAATTTACTTTGTAATCAACCATAATCAATACAAAATAAATACAAGTAGCAATGATGCAAATATTGAAAATATAACCCTCTAACTATTAATTACATAACTACCCAAAGTGTCGGTCTAAGGATCCCGAAGAATCCGCCGAACAAATCAAAGTAATTATTAATTAATAAAAGAGTCTATACTTTTCTCATGCTTAAGAGTCAAATGCCATGACGGTAATAGGGAGTAATTGCATACGACGGCTCTCGCAATATATTTCAACCTAACGCGGATCCAGTTCAAGTCTTAATTAATTATGAGTCCATCCATAATTACCGACTATGAACAATTTATAATTACTATTTATATATCATGCATTGATTGTCATCACATACATATATATAAATATTTCTTGTAATTAACAGGACACTATCAATTTCATAATGAATTGAAACATAATACATTGAATTCACCAATTATATAAATCATAAATATTTCAGATATGTCAGGAACATATGTCAATACAATCCAGATAGGAATTTGCTATGCCAGGGCATATAAATCCCAACAGCTATTTCATTGCCAGAAGAAGAGACGCTCGCTTCACATGAAGCTGTGGAATTATTCATGGCGGATGAGTTATTGACGTTTGGTTATGTTGGGAAAACCAGAGGGTAATATTTTGAGATTGTTATGGGAGAGGTCAAGAACAGAGAGGTTTCGAAAACCAGAGAGATGAGCCAACTTACTGAGCCTGTTTGTAGAAAGATTGAGGACTTGAATCGATGAAAATGAAGCCATATCTGAAGTGGGTTCGAACCCAATGGTCCCTCCGAATTGATTCTTGGAGAGATTGACTTTGGTGAGAGATGGACTGGACCAGAACCAACTTGGAACAGAGCCTTTGAGAGAATTGTTGGAGAGATCGATGGTTTGAAGGTGAGACATGTTTCTGAGGAATCACCATGAGAGAATACCAGTGAGGTTTCTGGAGGAGAGGTTGATTTGTCTGATTGGAGGGCAGTTGGAATTGGTGGGTTTGAACCAGGAGGAGTTGAAGTTTGAGACTGAACTGAAGGCTCTGGAGAGGAGGTGATGATCTGCGGTGTTGCATGAATTACATGAAACAAGTGTGAAAAGGGAGATGAGGAGTATGAATTTGAGGAAGATTTCCATCTTGTGAGTTCAGAGCTTCAACTCCTGGCTGCTTCACTTTGTTGGCGACCCATGAGAGAGAGAGAACTATCAAATCCGGGGAACTTTTCTCTTCAATGATACAGAGGAGAAAAGCAAGGCATTGAAGGAAGAGAAGGATGGAGGGGGAGGGAGGGAGAGAGAGAGAGCTTTTTCAAATCCCGGTACCTTTTGCCACTTTGAATTTTCAGCTCTGAGCTCTGAGCTCGAACAATGATGAAGACCCAGAACAAATCGCCTGTAACTGGTAAATTGATCGCCGGCGAACACAGTAAAATCCAATATGGAAGTTAATGGAATCGTTTTCACTCTAAATTTTTTCTTATTTTTCTCTTTCTCGTTTTTAAATTTCATTAATTTCTTTAAAAAATTAAAAAAAATTTCTTACTTAAAATTTCATTAACTTCCTTAAAAAAATATATATGAATGGGTGATTTTTCTTCTTTTAATTTTTAAATTTTTTTTTATTTTTCTCTTTTTAAATTTCATTAATTTCTTTATAAAAATAAAATTTTCTTACTTAAAATTTCATTATATATATGAATGGGTGCTTTTTTTTATTTTATTTTTCTATTTTAATTTTTAAAATTTTTCTTATTTTTCTCTTCGTCTTTTTAAATTTCATTAATTTCCTTTAAAAAAAAAAAAAAATTTCTTACTTAAAATTTCATTAATTTCTTTAAAAAAATATAGAACCGAATACTTGTATAGCGCATAATAGCTCTCAATATCAAATTGTATGATGTTGATCACCTATTTTATTCATTCTTGTATATGGAAAAGGAATGGTAAACGTGTCATTTGAATAGTCAACCTAAAGTCAAATGAGGATAAACATGTAAATTTAATCATTAAAGAAACAATTTATTAAGTCAAACCAAAGTCAAATGGTAAGAATATCTTTTTACATGTAAAAATTGGTCTGACACACCCGTGAACTAACTTTTGAGGTGTGAGTGAAAAACAGAGCAAACGTTTATAATGTGAGTGATAATTATTTTCAAAAGATGTCAGTTAAATTATCCCAAAATAAAAATAAAAAATCTAGCGAGTCTGCCCTTGTCTTGCTCGATCATTTTAATGATATGAAATAAAGTAAAATATGGTAAATTAGGGTCTTACAGTTTCATACTATGTCTTGTGCTTATATCTTATAATTCATAAATATAAATGCTAGAATTGAAATTTATAATGCTATATTTGAAAGCACAGGAGAATTCGCGATTTAGATTTAGATTTATAATTAGATATAATTTAGTTAAAATTTTGAATTAAAATTTTTCTAATTTTTAGTTCAAAACACTAATTCCATACTTCCAAAGGCAACATAAATGTTATTTTTGTGATTCGTGATGTCTATAATTATTTTATATGAATTTGTTAGGGAAAATTACACATAAACGGAGTTAAAGTTCCATATTTACTTAGAGGCTGAGTCAAAGTTCTATATTTCTCTAAAATGGATTGCTGAGGTGGCACATGGTTTTTTACTGTTTAGAAATTGTGATGCCTAAAATACCCTTCCGCGAAGGTACTACTTTTTCTTCGAAGGTACTACTTTTTTGAACTGAAGGTACTACTTTTTGGCGTCCAGGTATCATGTTTAAAAAACACTCGCGAAGGTACTACTTTTTCTCCGAAAGTACTACTTTTTTGAATTAAAGGTACTACTTTTTTGAACTGAAGGTACTATTTTTTTATTAGGGAAGGGCATTTTAGGCACCACAATTTTTTAAACAGTAAAAAACCATGTGCCACCTCAGCAATCCATTTTAGAAAAATATGGAACTTTGACTCAGTCTCTAAGTAAATATGAAACTTTGACTCCATTTATATGTAATTTTCCCAATTTGTTATCCGGTACAAATTAATATGTTAGCATCAAACCCATCTTCCTGGCAATTTAACTCGAGCGACATGACAGTCCTAAATGTCATTGAGGTAAGTTCTTTAAAATTCTAGACTCTTCTTCTGGAATTCTATAACTAGCTAGAAGTCTTTTCAATTTTTTGACAGTGATGTCAGAATTTGGGTGCTAGGGTAAAACCTTGATAATTTCTTTGACTTCTTTCATTTTTGGTTCCATGTTTTTTTTTTTTTTTTTTTCTTAAGACAACACAACTAACTATCTTTTACTGTTAGTTCTAAGATATCAGCTGGGATAAGAATCAGATCAATATCACTTGGAACGTATGGTTTTTTATTTACTATTTTTTATCCTAATTAGAAACCTGTAGTTCAATCCTCCAAATTATAAAGAGACTTTGCTAATTAACTTTTTTTTTCATTAAAATATTTTTTTGCTAATCATGGGAGTTTTAGACTGATATTTGGGATCCCACACATGTTTGATATGCACGTGTACAACATTATATGATTTATATATAACTTTTTTTTTTTTTTTTTTTAGGTAAATGATTTATATATAACTTGAACATGCTGGATTGTTGTAGAAGTTAAATATGTGATGTGTACACGTGACTGGGTAACGGTCATTTTCTAACGGCTTAATGACAGTGAGCCCTTGTTTGTAACATCTTTGAATACATGAAAGACTTGTATACACAATATAAACTAAGGGGTGTTAGGTGTACAAAATGTGATGAACCTTGGGGATAATTTTTGCATTTTGCCCTAAATTGTATAAGAGTGGTAATCATCATTAATTAAGTCATAATGCATTAGTACTTTCTGTCATAGTACTCTCGTTGCCAATAATCTACATGAAAACAAATGAGAACTTGAATTGCCATCGATTTTGCACATATTTGGAGCTTGTAAACCATACTAAAGTCAAAATAAAAATAAAAAACTTGATATATTATAACAAAGGTTAATTCCACATTATCTAAACGATTAACTACCAAAAAGGAAAATATGTGTAGATATATATTGTTTATTTAGAATTGTCATTTCAAATGAAGAAAACAAAACCTTAGACTAGTGTGGACAGTGGAGGAACTGAATAGAATAGAAAGGTGATTCAAGGACTTGTGCCGAAAGAAATCCCAAGAATATATATCTCTAATTGATAATGGAGAATTGTTTCAAGCAAGAAAAAAGTGTTTCTCGTTTTTATTTTCTTCTCATTGCTGCAATACAGGACATGAAGTCCTTCCTTTAATGTAAATGTAACAAAAGAACACACCTCTCAACAAACAAAAGTACAATGACAAATTTAAAGCCAAAAAAAGAAAAAGATAGAAGGAAGATAGAGAATTGGAATAGTAATTAACTCTTTGGGATAAGTTATATATCTATTTCTTATTATGTCTTGGTAAGGAAGTTCTCTTCTGGAATTTTACTGAGCACCAAACTTCTTTGCCATCTCCATGAAGAAGTCAAAGACCTTGTACTGGTCTGGGAGAGCCTTGGACACACTCTCCTTCTCCATGCACTTCTTACCCCATGCCACAATTTTAGGGCACTCTTCCTCAAAGCTGAAGTTGCCACATGTCTCGTAGAGGTGAAACCAATTGTAGAAGGGTACAAGTGCAATGTCCACAATACCAAAGGTCTCTCCCCCAAAATAAGTCTTATCTCCTAGCTCTGCTTCCAGCACTTTGAAGCACTCAATGAGATCCTTTTTTCCTGCTTCTTGGGTTTCACCTTTGGTGAAAACTAAAGTCCTACTATTGCTATATATCTGCATATAAAGGATTGTAAGACTTAAATTTTCTAAGAAACTGATAAGCTTAATAGTGTCGCGTATGTTATATATACACACACACGTATAAACAAAACATATACACATATATATAGGATCCCATTTACCAAGTGATTAAATGAACAACAAATGGAAGAGTTGAACTAACCTTCTTGTCAATGTAGTCAGCCCAGAACCTTGCTTGGGCGCGCTTGTAAGGATCACAAGGCAACAATGGAGATTGATCCTTACAGACCTCATCAATGTATTGAACAATGATGAGGGACTCGCATATTGGTTTCCCATTATGGATCAACACTGGGATTTGCTTATTAACAGGGTTCACCTTTAGAAGCAGAGGACTCTTGTTCATCAAGTTCTCTTCTTTGGTTTCGAAGTCTATACCTTTCTCAGCCAAGGCAATTTTCACTCTCTGTGAAAAAGGGCTAGCCCAGAACTCCAAGAGAGTCAATTGGGATGCCATTCTAATTACGAGTCAGAAAAACAAAGTTCGAAGATTGAAGAAGAAGAAGAAGTGGGTTGTACAAGTGTTTCAGATTGCTTGTGTTATATGAAAAAGAATGAAGTTGGAGCAAGTATTTATAAGATACTTTTGAGTGGGTTTCATTGTTAAATCATTTTCCTACTACTTTTTTTGTGGGTCGTCATGGCGTGCGTAGGAATGAATTTAATATAACGTTAAAGAAAGGTTATTAGGATGGCTCTGAAATTAAATGAAATTGGGATCTTCCGTTTTGGGTCTAATGGATTGGTTTCCGAGTAATAGTTTGGAAAAATTACATATAAATGGAGTTTAAGTTCCATATTTATTTAGAGACTGAGTCAAAGTTCCATATTTCTCTAAAATGGATTGCTGAGGTGGCACATGATTTTTTACTGTTTAAAAAATTATGGTGCCTAAAATGCCCTTCCATAACAAAAAAGTAGTACCTTCAGTTCAAAAAAGTAGTACCTTCGCAGGTGTTTAAAAAACATGGTACCTGGACACCAAAAAGTAGTACCTTCAGTTCAAAAAAGTAGTACCTTCGAAGAAAAAGTAATACTTTCGCGGAAGGGTATTTTAGGCACCACAATTTCTAAACAGTAAAAAACCTTGTGCCACCTCAGCAATCCATTTTAGAGAAATATGAAACTTTGACTCAGCCTCTAAGTAAATATGAAACTTTGACTCCATTTATATATAATTTTCCCTAATAGTTTAGACTTTTAAGAGTGTTATAGACTTTCTGTCGTGATAAAGCAGGTTTAAATTTAAAAATGAACGTGACACTTTAGGATCTATGTAGCATGGAAAATCTTAACATATCACACAAATTTTGTAATCTTTTATTATCATAAGAGAAAAATATCACTCGCCAGCAATCATGGTCAATGGTAAGTAAACAAGTGATTGCAAGAGTACCATCCCTCACCGTCCCCACACCTACACCAGCGGCGCCATAGTCGGCGATGAAAAACCATGTTCATTGCGGCTGCAGGAAAGGGGAGAGAATACGAAGAGAGAGAGAGATCGAGAGTGGTTTGAGGTGTAAGTACGTTCACCTACTCCGCCAAATACGGATACACCCCCATGAGCTTTGGCAATATTGTTAATCAATTCTATAATGAGTACTGTTTTACCCACTCCAGCTCTTCCGAACAGTCCAATTTTTCCTCCACGTCGATAAGGGGCTAAAAGATCAACTACTTTAATTCCTGTTTCAAAAATAGATAATTTTGTATCTAACTGTATAAAGGCGAGCGCAGATCTATGAATAGGAGATGTTATGAGCTCTGTTTTTCCGTTTTATCATAAGTATGTGCTCTCTCCTCCCGACTTTTTCCACAGACCCATTACACTCCACACTCTCTCAGCCCACCTCCGAACCATGGCTCGCCCAAGTCCCCGAATCCACCCCAGCTGCAACAGAGGACGGACCCATCAAACTCCCACCATCCACTCCATCCATTTTCGCCACCTCCGACGACCCTACGCCTCTCCAAGTCACCACCAGTGTTATGCTCACCGGGGCCATCTCTGTCTTCCTTTTCCTCTCTCTCCGTCGCTGTGCAAAGCGAGCCAAAGAACTGCAATTTAGTTCTTCGGGAGCGAAGAAATCGTTGAAGGAGGAAGAGGTCGTAGGATTGGGTTCGGAAATCGGAAGCGAAGAAATCGTTTGCGAAGAAATCGTCCTCATAAGCAACTATGGGGCTTTATGGATTCCGGTGAAATGGCATCCATTGATTCCGGCAGCAATCTACAGTGTGTTTGTGGAGGAACGAATTGATTTCGGTGGGCGAGGTCGTAGGATTGGGTTTGGAAATAACTACAGATTGTCATTATTGGCGAATCAATATGTAACGACACCAACCTTTTCACAGATTGTCTTTATCTTTATCTATAAGGATGAGAGGGTGTGCGGAAAGGACAATAGCAGAAAGTGTTTTGCCCAATCTTGAAAGTCAAGTCCGTTCCCAAAAGACGAACTAAAGGCTCAACATTAGAAGGCTTGCCTGTTTGGCATGAATAGTGATGAGTTGGGCGTTTGCGAGTTGAAGAAGATGAACAGTGACATATGGGCATAAGGCTGTGTTTGGGTTGAGGGAAATTAGGTTTAGGTGGTGTTTGGGATAAAAGGGTCATTTTGCATGGCTTATATTTATATTTATTAATTTATTCAACTGAAGTGAGGGTATTATCGTTATTTTATATCACAAGGAACTTATTTGCACCGAATTAATAGTATAAGGGTTTTTTTTTTACCACACATGGACTGAAATGCACTATATTAATAGTAGAGGGGGATTTTTTACACTTAACCCTTATAAAAATAAAGAAGATTTAAGAAATTGTGTAAAATTATAGAGTAATTAAGTTAATGATTTACAATAACCAGGCCTTTTTCCACTTATTTGAGATCGGCTATATATATGAATCATATGTTTCTATTCCATTTTATTTTGAATAACAGTTTCAGTCAAACCACACTTGCATTTTTCCCAATTGGAAGTATAAGCCAACAAAGACTAAGAAAAGAAAAGAGACTTCAATATCCAAAAATCAATTTGAATTTATGTTAGGTAGATCCATTGTGGAAGCCATATAGTAAGATAATTAATAGAAGAATATAGGAATAAACAAAAGATTTACACTTGTTTTTCATAGTCTGGTGTATGGAAGAGTTTCAAGTGACATAATATCGCTCCAAATAAAATGAGTACCAAAAAAACTTTATAAATCATATTTAAAATATGTATAGTGAGATGTTGAGTTGAAACAGTAACGGACGTTGATAAGAATTTTTACTACATGTCAAGAAATTAATGCTTTTTATTTTTATTTTTTGTATAAGTAAGATTACACCATGGATCAACGTTAAGTTCACACTTGCTTACAATAATGTTAAATGAAATAACTAAAGATATTCAAAAAAAAAAAAAAAAAAAAATATTCCGCAGCATGTGTTGTTTGCTGATGACATAATTTTATTAGACACCATGCAGTCTTTTCGACAAATATAGAAACACCCAAAAAGACTTTGGAAGCAAGTGGTTTAAGAATTAGAAAAAATAAATAAATAATGAATATACATATGATAAGTATAATAAGCTGACAGTATATCGTCAATTATAATTTATTACTGACAGATGAGGAGTTAGACAGTACGTAAAATTGAAGCATGATTGATTAAATAGGGATAAATTAGTTGTATTATAAAAAATTAAATTAAAAGAAAAATTCAAATAATCTTACCATAATGTGCATTAAAACTTTAGTTTGGAGGATTATGGGCTTAGGAAGCTACACGTTTCGTGGCCCATCAACATGGAAATTATGGGCAGAGGAATCAACACGCTTTGTGGGCCATCAACATGGAACCCAGAAGTCAAGGTAAAGTAGAATGAGACTTTCATTAATTCCCAACTTTATCATCAAGACACCTTCCAAGGTTCCACATAGCACAGTTTCTGACATCACTGTTTCTTTTCTGTCAAGAAATGAGAAGACTTCTACCTAGATCTAGTATTTTGAAGAAGAGTCTAGAACTTCTCTGTACATACCTCAGTACCTCACTGATATTTAGGTCTACAAGTTTATATTTAATTTTTACAGAATGAATAAATATAAAAAACACTAATCAAAGAAAATTACTCGACATATATCAATTCTACCAGTTCAATTATATATTACTAGACTCTTTAAGGACAATATGAAACATAAGACTGTAATTCACTATATATCAGTGCCATCTGTGATGTATTTATCCAATGTGTAGTGTTTGGGTGTACAAGCTCTGCATTGCATACAAGATTGTCTCGTCTACATGGTCACTTACGCATCTTTTTGCATTGCGAGGGAGGTCAGCAAATTTTCACAAGCTCTGATCTTTGTTTGGGGAGTGGTTCACTTTAACTTCTAGGGTTATGTTGTTTAGTGAGACACGGGATACTTGAGGTCTCCTTCTTGGTCCACTTAAATTTTGACTTATGCTCTTCGTAATAATCTATACATCCCAATTCTATGGCCTTCACTATATACACAAACCCACACACATTTATATATATATATATTGATGTGTGGTGATTTAATTGGGTGTAGAATCTATGGTGTGCAAGTAGGTTTCTTTGAATGATATCACCACCCCCACACTTATGCTTCAATGCCTGTAAAGAATCATCGATATTCAAATTCAAAATGCACCGGAGCAATCCAATTGCGTCGATATTCAAATTCAAAATGTGCATCATCGGAGTAGTCCAACTGTAAACAACATCAAGTTCATCAGTGGTGGCAAGATTGGTCATCTGATCATGAGTTCATTACCGTAAATAGGATCGTTATAGAAATCTTCATCCATCAAATGGTGAGGGCCTTTTATGCACAAATGGTGAGGGGCAAAATGGAAAACAAAAGGATAAAATGGGGTTTTCAATTTTACTTTTTGTAAAAAGTGGTCAGAGGGATTAGTTATATACTTTTTTTGAATTTTGTGGACTTACATGCATATTTTCAAAAAATAAGGACTAGTTTTGCACAAAATCGATATATCAGGGGGGTTTTTTGCACTTAACCCTTTTTATAAATTGGTATAATTATACTTTTTCTCCATTCACTTAGCATTCTTTCATCTTATAAAATTTTGTTAACCATTCAATTCCTATTTATCCTCTAAGTATGTATGTTATTAGGTTCAATAATTGGGTCATCTAATTCCTTATTATTAATTTCATTTACCAGTCCCATGTGAAGTTTGTTATTTACAATTTCTTCTCTAGCATATTTCTCATTTAATAAGTGTTTAAGGTAGTTTTTCTATGTTTCTAATGTATCTTTTTCTTTAACTAATATTGTTTGATTTATAATTTTATATCTTTGATACACCTAACTTGGTCCATATCTCCCGTCAACTACTCTCTATGTTTTGCTAATTTGTAAATAGTCATTTCACCCTCTTTTGTACATAATTTTTCATAGAAGTCATTTAACGCATTTTGTTTAGTTTTATCTATCATCTTTTAACTTCACATTTAAATATTTTTATTT